TAATGCACTTTAATTGTGCAGAAGTAGTGCTGAGGTTCAACTAAAGATATACTTATAAGCATATTTGATTGTGCTGCAAGTTTACTTCAGGAACACATTAAATATTTTGCATTTAAAGACTGATCTTACAATAGTGATATTAAAGCACATTTTAGACATTATATTAAGAAATGTGCATTCTGCAATAAAGAAATGCTCCAAATAAAGTTTAATTATAATTTTATATTAGTAAGTCTTAAGTGATATGTCAATACATATGTTCATGGATTTTAAGTATACTTGGTATGAAATAAATGTATTTTAAATAAATCATGGCAAAGTTTTTATTTTTTTACTATGGCACTATAAAGAACTTTTTGTGGAATGGAAAGTTTCCACCATTGTTAAAGAACCATCACTGCCAGTAAATAACCTTTATTTTTACGGGTGTATCCTGAGGTTGGGTGAAATATTCAAGATGTATAGCCTTTGCGGCTCCAGACTTACGGCTGTGCACTTTTTGTCAACTCAGTGCTCATGAAATGTTCAGCCTTCAGGTTTGTGGTCTTAAAATAAAAGTGCACGAGGCTTCAACAAAAGCATGACCCACAGTGTTTTACGGCTGGTTTAATCCTGTACTTCAGCCAGGCTAAAAGGCAAGTGTATCAGTGGCAGAGGTCTGGGAGGGAGAAGGAAGTGACCGTGTGGGAGGAAGCCTGAATTCTCCTCAGTGGGTCATGTGTATGTTGTGTGCTCATGAAGTGCTGTCATCAGTTCTGACGCAGAGAGACCAGCGAGCATCTGCTTATCTGAGGTTTTCTTCTAAAATGAACGAGTTTGCAAAGTTCCTAAGCACCTAAGCTTCCACTTCTGCAAAACATGTTCATAAGTATGCATAAATAAAAATATTGTGATAGTTCACCTAAAAATAAATGTCATCATTTACTCACCCTCATGTCATTCCAAACATGTATGACTGACTTTCTTGTGTGGGACACAAAATAAGAACTGTTTTGTCCTTACCATGAAAATTAGGGTCCTAAAATAATATTAGATTCCATTCTATGGAGGTAAAAAAAAAAAAAAAAATCTTCTTTTATATTTCACAGAAGAAAGAGAAAGGCACACAGGTTTGGAACGACTTAAGGCTAAGTATGATATAATTTTCCCTTCAATTTGGTTTGACTTCTGTATGCAGATAACATTGTTGCACTACATTAGTGACATAGTAAAATAAGTCCAGAACTTCACTGATTTAAAGTGCTTGTGAAACTGTAAATCACAATGAATCCCTCCTCCCCCACTCCTTCCACTAGCTGTCATGGCTCCAAACGCAGAAACAAGTGGACATCCTGAGCGGAAACCACTAACCCTGCCGCCGCATTGCATTCCTTCACTTCATCTCCCCTCACTCTCGAACAAAGTCACTTGACCAGACCCCAATTTAGGAAGTGAAAGAGGAAGCTCCATATATCCCCATCCATCCTCACTGCCACACGGCTGCTGCTGTTCACGTGAAGGCTGAGAGAGATAGAGGACACTGGTATTATCCACACTACAAAACACCCTGAAAGCAGGAACAGACCAGTTCTGACCAGCCAAGTTCTGCTTGAGAGATCAGGCATTTTTGACTCAATGTTCGGCCAGAGAATATTTAGTGATCTAACTGAACTGAACTGAACTTGCTCGGGTTTTTGTACCAAAACTACAGACAGCCGTTGTATGTACTAATTTGAAAAAAAAAAGATAAAATTCTAAATGCTCACGGCACAAAATAGATCTTGTTTTAATATAATTTATAAATGTTATTACATGTATAATTTGAACATAAAATTTATAAATGTAATACAATGTATATTATATTGAAGTTATGGAATAAATAAATATATTATACAATTATAAATAAAATATATTACATTTATACATATAATGTACATTATACTAAAATTCTAAATGAAATAGACATATTTACACATTATAAATACAAACTAAATGATATTAAATACCAAATGTTAAAATGTAAAGATTTTAACTGGCACAAAGTAATTCTCATTTTAATGTAATTAATCAGTGTTATTAAATACAATATATTCAATACTATTATTTTATATTATCAATATTATAAAATGTAATATTTTTTGTTTTTATTTCATGTAATATACATTATATAAATGTATATTACATTAAATTTATAAATGTAATAAATATAATGTATTTTATATTAAAATTACACAAAAATATATTTATACATAAATATACATATACATAAATAAAATGAAATAATATAAATGATACAATTTTTCAATGTTCTACATGACAAAAAAGCAATGATCTTTTGAATATAATTAGTCAACATTATTCATTATATTTAATATAATTATATGTTATTATTTTATACTTTTATTATAATATAATTTTAATTGTATATTATATCAAATGTATAAATATAATACATATTAAAATTATAAAAGAGACCTAAAAATGGCTGTCCACCAACGTTTACCATCCAACCTGACAGAACTGGAGTGGATCTGCAAGAGGGAATGGCAGAGGATCCCCAAATCCATGTGTGAAAAACTTGTTGCATCTTTCCCAAAAAGACTCATGGCTGTATTAGATCAAAAGGGTGCTTCTACTAAATACTGAGCATTTTTCAGTTTTTCTTTTTTAATAAATTTGCAAAAATGTCAACAATTCTGTGTTTTTCTGTCAATATGGGGTGCTGTGTGTACATTAATGAGGAAAAAAATGAACTTAAATGATTTTAGCAAATGGCTGCAATATAACAAAGAGTGAAAAATTTAAGGGGGTCTGAATACTTTCCGTACCCACTGTAAATGTAATATTAACTATATATAATATAAACAATTGTAAAGGTATACTGTTAAAATTATAAATAAACATAACTGTATTTATTTCATATTTATATATTTTATTATTTATTATTGTTTTATTATTTATAATATGTATTATCGTCGTAACTACCATTTTACAACCTGAATTTGAAAGCCTCTGTTTGTCTAATACCAACTTTTTTGCGCTTTTGCTTGTTCTTGGTCTCTTCCTGATCAGTCTTTCTGGTTTCGGTGACCCTCTGATGCCACAGAGAAGCAGGCACCTTGGGCAGAGTGCTGACTCAATGGCCCCCTCCCCCTCGGCCAAAGGCAGAGTGGGGGAAGGAGGGGACGGGAGGATTCACATTAGCCACGATATCTCGCGCAGGGAGAGGTTGTTAGTGACTTTTACAACGGCACTGCATATGCTGTGATAAAACATTGTACATCGAGCCCTTCTCACTACAAGAACAGCAAACAAAACAAAACAAAGATTAATGATACAAATGATTATCTACATGTAAAAAAAAAAAAAAATGCATGCATTTGTATAGTCATGTAAATGGAACCCGAGCAATGATGAGTAGGTTACTGAGAAAAATCTACAGCAAATATACAGAACAGCTTACTACAGAATTTAAAAAAACTGACCTGAATGAATGTCAAGCTTATTTTTGGTGTGCACCAAAAGGGGTGGTCTGGGGTAGGCTACGATTGGCTTTTGATGTGAACGCAATATCCTGCCAAATCGCAGAGGCGAACCGCTGTTAATGACGTATTATTTGATTAAAATGTGTTTCACTCACTTTCCTGACGAGCGTGACTCTCGCGCTGCAAGCAGAGCGCTGTAGCCCTAGGCCTATATCTCATTTCTGTTCGCCTTCAGGCTTCTTTACAGCATTTGCAGTACAGTAAGACAGACGTAAGTGCCGTTATGTAGCTACTGAAGCTTTGGAAACAAAACATAAATATAAAAGTGAAAAGAGCAATGCCACTCATTTTTACTTATCCTGCGCCGTCGTTACTAAGCAACGGGGTAAACAGCTGCTGGCTTGATGACGCAAACGAACCGCGATTCCAGCCTAAATAAAATGAAATAATATGAACGCAGTCCAGCGGGGGCAGGGGGAGGGGGAGCAATCGAACTCGGGTTCGGACCAATTCAATCCAACCAATTGTGAAAGCACCCTAGAGTCACATTAGTCAAAAATCATTCTCACTTATGAATGTCAAGCTATACTTTTCATTCTAAACGGGATGAGAAAGAGATCATAAAGCTGTTGCTTAGTGAAAAACTGCCTTTACACCTGTGACCCTGTAGGCCTATTGCACAGGTGGCAGGTCATTACAAAGAGGTCGGTCTTGCACTAACTTGCACTAAGGAGCAGTTGACAACAAGGTCGAGGGTTAAAGGCTGTTTTGCCACACATGTTGTTTGGATCCCGAGAAAAGAAAGGAGAGTTGTGTAATGCAAAAATAACAACCAGTGCTTGAAGATCTATTTATGTCAGTGTTGTGAAGTGTATCAGCACTACTGACTTTTTAAATTTACCTTTATTACCAAAGTATTTGCACATTTTAAGTTTGCATATTTAAATCCTTTTAATTCATTACAAGTGCAAATGTTCCAAAGCGCATTGTGGTTTAGAGTGTAGATTACTCATTTTGCTCGTAAAGTTTGTCATAATGGGCTGGCCTTTCCAGCAGTGTTATTGGAGTTCTTAGTACAACAATTACTTTCAAGAGAAATCAAGCAACAGTTCAGATGGATGGCATTTGCTTTTCTTTTAAGGAGAGGGCAGAGGGCTAAACTTATTTCCACCTTGGTACAATCAGTGCCGTGCAGCTCTTCGCAGAGTCTCTCGAGTCATTAGAAACACAGTTGTCTCAGGAAACAGCCGTTAAGCAAGGTCAAAGGTTGCTGCAAGTAGACATACCTGTGTACTGGGGTTTTTATGTTCTCATGATATTTTGTGTGTGTGTATAGGTTAATACATTTGTGTGTGTTTCAAGTCAGTCTGTTGATGGGTTACAAAAACATCCGTGCTACGTACGTTTCGCGCAAAAAATACAGTATGAACTGTGTTCTGGGGAAGTGTAAGAAAAACAAGAAACGGTATGCTTTTTTTTCCTTCAAAAATTTATTCTGGAGGTAACAATGAAATCAAAATCACAATCACAATCGTTTACTCTTCAAGAGTTTCAAGGAACAACTGGAACACATGGTACAACTGATTAATGAAACAAATTAAAGAAATGTTCACTCAAACTAACAAAAATACCAATGCAATGCATCTATTGCCAAAAAAGGTCAAATGTCATTTGCATAGCTGAGATGACTGATAGAGACTGTTGTGAAAACTAGAAGATAAAAGATGCATTATCAAAACCAGCTTGACATGTCAGAGATAAAGTCTAGTGAAAATATAAAATACTGAATAACAAAATTAAAGTCTCCTCTGCTGACAGAAACACCTAAAATCAGTCTAAGATGGTTTGCTGGTCTTCCAGCTGGTTTTTGGGCATGTTTCAGTGGTCAGACCAGCAAACAATCATGCTTTTTTTTTTAGAAGAAACTTTAGAAATCTTAAATACGTGCTGAACTATCGCAGAAATTCAGGTGACGATGGATTTTCACAAGAGGGTCCTTTACTCTGACAGTTCATTCCGACAACTAGCCTCTCGCATTTGAGTTTATACGCGTCCCTCTCGCGCACCAGCCTGTTGAGCTCGTGCTTCAGCTGCTCCACTTGCGTCGCCAGGCTCGTCTTCTCGTTCTCCAGCATGTGTTTTTGATGAACGCGTTTGTGCCGACACGACTGAGCGTACCCGCGGTTTTTCAAGGTACGGCGCTTCTGCTTGAGGCGGATAATATCGTCCTTGCTCATGCCGCGGAGGTGTCGGTTGAGCTCGCGCACAGACATGGACACTAACTGCTGGTCGGAGAAGCGGCTCTCCGCGCGCTCGCTGCGCCTGTGGTGCGTCTGCTGATGGAAATTATGGGACTTCAGGTGCGTCGCGCCTTGAGACGAACAGTCGAGATGCTCCATTAACTGATCCACGCTTTTGCCGTGCGCAAAGTCGGGATTGTGGCCAAGTTCGGTGTACTGCTGCTGATGATACTGATGCATGTTTGGTGCGTGGAACTGACCGATGCTCCTGTATCCCTCCATCTCTGCCTGGTGGAGCTGAGGAGGCTGTGCTTGCATGAGATTGGCGCCTAAGGCTTCCCGGACATCCTCAGGTGTCAGTTCAAGGCAGTGTGGATCTGCGTGCTGTGGATAAGCCCCCGTGCTCAGGGTCCAGTAGAGATCTTCAGCACCGCTCCTCTGTCCACTCGGGCTGAAGCTCGGTGATGAAGGCACGGAGCTGCACGGGGTGCTCATGGGTGTGCTGGACACAGAGCCTGGTACGTGTACACCGCACTGCTGCATAAAAGAGCGGTCCGGTCCCAAAGCTGCAGACTCCTTTTTCACATCAAACCTCATGTCAAAGTCGCCGTAGTCCAAATTCAGCTGATGCTGCTCCGCCGTCATGATTTCTGCTGATGTTTCGATGAAGTGAACAACTTATTACTGCGGTTCAGGTTGCATTAATGTCCTGAAAACACGATCCAACCAATTGCTGGAAGTGAAGTCAGCTCTTTCAGCCACCCTCCAAACGGAAATTTTGCAAGTTGTCGCTTTTTAGTTTCAGATGGTCTCTCGGTGACCAGGGCAGGATGTATGTTGAAAAGAAAGTAAATCACGCTGCTTTAAAAGCAGCCGCGCAGTGAGGCCACGCCCTCTTTCCTATAACAGCTGTCACTCAAAAAACAAGTCCAAGTTACTTTTACTCCAAATCAAAAGAAAAAGTTGAATTTTGTACAACGAAAAAGAAACCTGTTAATAAGGTTTTATAAAACAAAATCAAATTACCACACTTTTTATTTTCATGCAGGGTTGATTCTCAGTATTGTGTAGGCCTATTGTTTTTTTTGGTTTTTTTTGTCTATAAATTAAAGACGAACAAGCTACTGTCATGCCTACACATACACACTTTACAGTATGACAATCACTGTCATACATACCGTAGTGGCAACTCACAGTGTCAAACATTACGGGATGCAATTTTTTGACTGTATATGTCACTTTCCCTAATTGTCATGAAATTATAAAATATTAATAAATTTGAGCTATTAAAACTTGATTGTCATTGTAAAATGTACTGATATTTACAGTTGGCATCTCCAGAAACTGACCAATAATAATAAAGACAGAGCACAGTGTCATCAACACAAGACCATCATGGTAGCACATGATACTAAAATTAAGGCTAATAAGCATTAACTAAATAACACAAAATATAAAAAGAACTACAATGCACTGCATTGCATTTTTACAGTGTATCATTAGCTTTACCCTTAGTCTGCCTCAGTGACAATTTTTGTACCTTTTTTGCTGAGAGTGTAAGACATTGCAACTGTAATCTGGTACTGAGAATAAAGTTTTAAAAATAGCTTTAACTGCAAGCAATTTAAGTCAACATGGTGTTTGGACCCGAGTCCAAATCTAAGTGATTATCTCAGTCTAGAAGATCCTCAGAAAGCTCGTGGTATGACCGTGTATGTTTCTCTGTTAACTCCTTTACTGACACCATGTGGCCATTGTGAGAAACTGCTGAAATGGTTTCCAATATCCGATACGCTAGGTAAGTTTTACATTAAAAAAGTAAGTTAAGACAGCGTCAGTGTAGCTGCCTTTAAATGTTTTGTCTGGAAAGTCTTGGCTGTAAAATCACCCTAAACTTGGAACAATGTTTAAAGTTTTTGTAACAAGGATATAGAGACAGATTATTTGTATACACAACATTTCACAGTATTGAAAAACTGGTGCCTCGGTTCACTGGATGTTTAGTAAACACAAAAGCACCAATAAAGCGAAGGAAACAAGTGCACAGAAGCGGACACTTGACAGAACATTCATGGAGCTACTGGGAAACATTCAAAGTACAATGATGATCAGACGCCAAAAGGCTGAGGTAATGATTGCCGGAGAGCAGCTAAGGTACATCTTACTCTATATTAAAAAAGAAAAGAAAAAAAAAAGCTAGTCCCAGAAGGACATTTCCATGACTCTCACCACTTTTCAACACATTATATATTTAATTATTTGTTGGATATTGAAACATTATTCTGTTATACAGTAGGTAATACTCTTCTTAATTTTTGCATAATAATGGTTGCTAATACAACTATCTTGGGTTTGAAGATTGCGACTACATGATAGCAAGTTGATAAAGGACCGCAGACACCATTTGCGAACGTACCCGAATTGTTTTGTGGCTCAGGAGCTTATTGACTGGCTGTTTGCTCATAAAGAAATGCCTGATCGAGAGACTGCTGTCCAGCTCATGCAGCACCTCATGGATCGTGATATCATTCATCACGGTACATTATTTACTGTACACCAAAAACAAAGAGTAGCCTATGATACAACAAGGTCATGTCTCTTTTCCTTCTATGTTGACTCATATCAGGACCCGTTTATTTTTATCAATGTATACTCTATCATCTTTTAATCTTTATAGTGTGTGATAAGTGGCCCGTGTTCAAAGACGCCAAATACTTGTACAGATTCAGAAAGGATGACGGCACATTTCCTTTCAACATAGAGGTTAACATCTTCATGCGTGGACAGAGGCTGTATGAACAGTAAGACATTTTCTCAGAAAGTAAATTTTTTTTTTTAAATGTTAATTTGGTGCTTATTTCTGGAGTAATTGCAGTCCTCCCTCGTAATATTTAATACTGACATAATATCTGTCACCAAGTATTATGTTGTCAGTTAAGTTTTCAGCTACATCCCACAAATTCAGTATAGACCTTCAGCCTGTTCTGATGTTATTGAAATGTAAAAAAAAAAAAACACACATTGAAAAGTTTGAGGTCAGTAAGTTAAGGAATTAATACTTTTATTCAGAAAGGATGCCATTGCCAGTAAAGTGACAATAAAGACATTTCTAATGTTACAAAAAAAAATCTATTTCAAATAAATGTTGTTGTTTTGAACTTTATATTCATCAAAGAAACATGAAAAATGTATAATGTTTTTTACAAACTATTAAGCAGAGAACTGTTTTCAACATGGACTATAATAAGAAATATTTCTTGAGCACCAACTCAGCATATTAAAATGATTTCTGAAAATTCAACTTGGTCATCACAGGAATAAATTACAAACATTACAAGAAAACAGTTATTTTAAATAATAATATTTGTAATAATAATTTCACAATATTAATGTTTTTACTGTATTTTAATTAAATAAATGGAGCCTTGGTGAGCATAAGAGACTTCTTTCAAAAATCTTTTTACACAATTTTACTGACCACAAACTTTTGATCGGTAGTGTATTTGTAGATGTAGAAATTAACATTAACCTATAATAAATGCTGTAGAAGTATTTTCATTATTAGTTTATTATTAGTCTCTTTCAAACATGTTTTTCAAAATTCATGCATCGAAATTCATCTGTTGCTTTTTACAGTCTGATTACAAGCAAAGACTCCATCTTACAGCTAAGACAGGAAAAGGGAGTGGCTTATGAACGTTCTTTCCCTGGTTACATGTTAATTGATTGGCTGCTACAGAACGGTGAAATAGAGAGTCGACGGCAAGGACTAGATCTCTGCAAGGCCCTACTAGAGCATGGTATCATTCAGCATGGTAAGAACAATAACTGACCTAAAGTACGATAGTGTGTGTTGTATTTCGCCATTAACCAGGTCTAAATGCACTGCCTATTAAGTTAATCTAATGAAACATACCTGTGTATAGAGCGTTGACCTCTTCAAGTAACGTTATATCTGCAGTGAATTCTCTCTTCATGCTTTGCCTTGCTGAAACACTTCACTCTTCATTTCACTCTGCAGTCTCTCTGAAGCACCACTTCTTTGACAGCGGGCTGCTGTATCAATTCTGCATTCACTTTCGCCGGTGGCGCTGTCTTTCTGAACTGTTGCATGAGACAGAGAATGAAGAGGTTGACTGTATAACACACCAAAGCCAAGAAGACCAGGCTGACAGCCCCTTCACACTGCACAAAACTCCTCCATCTGTGGGCAACAGTTACTTCTTATCTGGTAGTAAAATCATTACAAATACTACAAATATATTTCAGTGCTATGATATGGAGTGTTAGAGCTTGAGAGATGGTGCTTAGGCAAATGGGCCAATTTAACCAGAGGGAGCACACTTATTGCCTGGTCATCCCCTCTGGAGTAATAAAGCAAGATGAGGTTAAGTGCCTTGCTCAAGGGCACAGCTGAGATAACACAGCATAATGAGCTCAGTAACTCTCCATTTTCATGGACACCCATACATGTAACCTGCAACCTTCGTGTCAGCAACCCAGCTCCTTAACCTAGGGTTTCTCATTATTTAATGTTACACCAAACGCCCCTTTTCATAACCCCAAACTATTCATGGACCCCCTGACACATGACAAAATTTAATACAAGACTACCATTAGGCCAACATAACCATTTGAGCAAATTACTGATATATATTTGTAAGTACTAATATAATATAATGGGGTCAGTATGATTTTTTTAATTATAATTTTATTCAACAAAGATGCAGGAAAAGAAATTGTTCTAAAAAAAACAAAAAAAAAACATTAAGCAGCACAATTGTTTCCGACATTAATAATTCTAAGAAATATTACTTGAGCACCCAATTAGCAAATTAGAATGATTTCTGAAGGATCATGTGACACCAAAAACCGGAGTAACGGCTGGTGAAAATTCAGCTTTGCCATTACAGGAATAAATTACTTTTCAAAATATTTTAGAAATTTTAAATTGTGCTAATATTTCACAGTATTACTGTTTTATTGTATATTTGATTAAATAAAGGCACCCTTGCTGAGCATAAACCCAAACATTCAAACGGTAGTGTAAATCCATGTATAAACTGTTCTAAATTTGTATAAACTTTTCTAATTCATAATTCTGATTTCTAATTCCAGTTCAAACTACTAAGGATTTAAAAGTGCCTACAAATGGACGACGTGGAAGTTTGACCAACCAGCAGCATAGTTCACGTGCATACCCACTCACTGCTTCCCTTACCGCTGCCCTCACAGTACGATGCAATCCTACATCAGGTTATAGGAGAGCATTTGCATGCTTTTGAAAATCTATTACAGGCACAATCATTATATTCCAAAAGAAAAAGCATTCTAAAAGTCTATGCAAAAAATGTAGTGACATAATTCTATCAGTTTCTAATGTAGTGACTGATAGAATGTGTATTATTGTTTTTGACAGTGCTGAAAAGACATGTAACCTGTGAGGAGCTGTTATCTCCAGGTGCTCCTTATGTAAAAAGAGTTCTTACGGTAAGTCTTGCATACATCATGCTTAGCTGGCCATGAAAAGAACCTTGAACTACAGATTGTTTATGTGAGTTTTATAATTAAAGATCCTCGGTGATGCCCTAGGCTGGGGCTTTGTAGTACGAGGAAAATCACCTTGTTATGTTCAGGCTGTGGATCCTGGAAGCCCTGCTGCGGCAGCAGGAATTAAGGTGATCATAACACGTAAATACAAACACAGTTGCTTACACAATAAAAATTTAGAATCCAATATCAGCTGGTCTCCAATCTTGCTTAGGTACGCCAGTTTGTGTGCCGAGTGAATGGACGCAGTGTGCTTCACCTGGACTATCGTACTCTTTCAAAGGTGGTGATGACTGGACCCCGTGTTGTTACTTTGGAAGTGATGGAACCAGTGGATTAATTCAGTATAGGTGTAATTAAATATATATATATATATAATTTTTTTTTTGTATATTTATATATTTAGGTGAAGGATGTGCAATGTTTTTTTCTCCATATACCATGTAAATCTTCCAGTATGTTAACATAATATAATATAAAAAAAAATTATAAAAAAGCATTAAAATGATCATACTGATCTAGTTTCATATCTGCTTATAGTTTTGGTTCTCCATGAGAAGCGGTCTAAGCACTATACACAATTTAGAGGGACATGTCCTTTCCAATATTCAGATTAGTGGTCATCCAATATGTTATCTTCAATAGTTCATCCTTATAGTTGTGATGAAACGAAAGTAGCGACAGATTTGTTATTTAAATTTTTTGTATTGTACCGAATATATGAGTGAAACAGATTAATGAAAAAGAAAAAAAAGTAGGGCAATGATTTGTTTCTATACATTGGTTGTTGATTGGATGGATCATGGAGGCAGATCTGAATGCAAGCTTAAATACGATATGACAGGCATGGTTTAAGAAGTGGACTAAATGATTAGAGAAGTAGTCTGGCATACATCAGTAGAGAAAAGTGTAATTTCACCAGAAGTTATGAAATTTTGATTTAAAGGGGTCATATGATGCGATTAAAATTTTTCTTATAGACCTATAGCTTTAGCTAGTATCCTGTCTAAAGTGTTGGAAAAAATCTTGCTGGATAGGTTAAATGTGTTTATTAATTCTACAGACAATCAGTTTGGATTTAAGGCTAAACATGGTACTGATCTTTGCATTTATGCATTAAAGGAAATAGTAAACAAGTATAGAGATAAAAATTCATCAGTCTTTATGTGCTTCATTGATGCATCTAAAGCTTTTGATCGGGTTAACCATGCAAAGTTATTTTTTAAAATGAGACAAAGAGGGGTGCCAGAATACATTGTGAGAATCCTGGCTTATTGGTATGCCCACCAGATGATGCGAGTAAAATGGGGCAATAAAGTCTCTGGCCCTTTTGGGGTTAGTAATGGCGTGAGACAAGGAGAGATTTTGTCCCCAATTCTGTTTAATCTTTACATGGATGATCTATCTGAATGTTTGAATGCTTGTAAAACTGGGTGTATGATTGGGAATATTCTAGTGAATCATATTATGTATCCAGATGATCTTGTGGTGTTTAGTCCTAGAGAATAATCGTGGTTGTGGGTGACACGCCATATCTTTTAGCCATAATTCTGGATGGATGATGGCGACATTCAAAGTCTTAACTATGAGAAAGAGGGATCCACTGTCTTGTAGGTCTGATCAGAGTATCTTTGTACCTGTAGAAGTCACTGAAAATCAACAGTGTTCAAAGTGGTGTCAGTTATTATGATAAAAAAGCTTTAAATTTATTTTACAGTATAGTATTTTTGTGTCTAGAGGAGTAATAGAGAGATCAAACCTGTCTGTGCTCATTCTGTCTCTGACTTTATTCATTGTTTTGAAGACAGTAGAAGCTGCCTCCAAGTACAACAGTGATTGTCTTCCCTGGAGACCTCAGTGGTGCCTCAACATGGTTCTCATTTCTATGACGGTCATGTAAAAGTGTGACCCTGCTGTTTTTTCACCTCTCAAAAATATGTAGAACATGTTTGCTCTTGATACACCTCTCCAGTTGGCTTGTACTGCAAAGCTAGCATTGCGACTGGAAGTTTTTTTCAGTTTCAGCCATCATATGTTGAAGTGTTAGAGTGACACTGACAGCCGTATGTTTCTTCCTGTCCTTCCACGCTCTGCCGGAAAACCTGGCAAAACTGCCAGTCTGTTAGGCACTGAGATCAGTCAACAGACAATCATGTTTCCAAACTACTTTGATGTGATGCCTGGCAAAACCTGGCCAAACGCTGACATGTTCATGAATGGCAACCAGGTTTTCAATCTAGATTATTACAACAGTTTTATTAACCTTACAAGGGTAGGTTATTACCCAAAATGAATCATTTACTCTCATTTCGTTCTAAACCTGTATGAATTTTTCAACTGTTTTTGTCCATACAGTGACAGTCAACAAGCTAAAACATGTTAGCAATGTGTTAAACATGTTCATTACAACCGTTTTATTAACCTTACAAGAATAGATTACCCAAAATAAATGAGCGTATTATTGTGCTGGTATTTTGGCAGGTTTAGGACTACCATGGACAGCTGACTCCCAAAGCTTTTGATATTCTTCATATTATGTGCGGTGATTAGTGCAGGAGTAACAGAAATGATCTTTTCCAATCAGTTTAAATAGATTTTTACTTTTTATGGGCATTGCTACCTTTACAATGCCAATTTGTTCTAATCTAATTAAATGTACGCATTTTCTTTTGTGTCAAATTCTTAAATCAATATCAATAAATTCAAATAGTGTGAGACAAGGAGGGATTTTGTCCCCAATTCTGTTTAATCTTTACATGGATGATCTATCTGAATGTTTGAATGCTTGTAAAACTGGGTGTATGATTGGGAATATTCTAGTGAATCATATTATGTATGCAGATGATCTTGTGGTGTTTAGTCCTAGCAGTGCTGGTCTTCAACAGCTTTTAACTATGTGTTCTGATTATGGTCTTGAACATGATATTTTATATAATCCTGATAAGAGTGTGGTTATGATTTGCAGAACTAAGGAGGATAAAAGTATAACAATAACACAAGTTGTCTAATAAGAGTCTCACTGTGTGTGCTAAAGTAAAATACCTTGGACATTTCATCACTGAACGCATGACAGACGATGAGGATATTGAAAGGCAACGCCAAATGATGTATATGCAGGCGAATATACTTTTTCCTCGTTTATAATGGGTTTTAATGTTTTTGTCTCGGCGCTCCGGCCTGACAGGGCATTACCATATGGTAGGGGCGTAACATTTCCGTCTCACGCTTGAGGTAATCGGCCAATCACAACGCACTGGATAGCTGGCCAATCAGAGCACACCTCGCTTTTCAGACCGATGAGCTTTGTAAAAATCGACGCGTTTCAGAAAGGCGGGGCATAGAGGAGAAACAATAATGTACAGTATGTGGAAAATAATGTGTTTTTTGAACCTTAAACCGCATAAACATTTCATTACACCAAATACACAAAATAATGTTCTTTTTAGCAACATCATATGACCCCTTTAAATTACGAAGTCAAAAAATGTTTAAAAAATAAAATATATCCTTATTGTGAACATAAACATTCACAATAAGATCAATAACACGCATTTAGAAAACAGGGTGATTCCTCGTGAATCAACGACTTAAACCTACTTGGTTAGACTTGTGTGGCGGTGATGAATGGTCTCCAGACATCTGGTGTGGCCCCTTTTGAACTTTACACAAATATATGTCATTTCCGTTTGCAACCGTCCGCCATTTTGAACAGGCTGGGCTGGTATGTGGAACGGAACAGACGAAAGAGAAAAAAAGTCAGTTGTCTGTCCCTTGTTTGTACTGAATTGACATAACAGTCTATCCAAATCGTGTATTAAAGAACAAGCTCATGGAGTGGACAGAAACTGCCCTGTAGCCTGTATTAATCCAGTTGAAGACACATGGTGCGGATTCTCAGGATGAGTTGCCGAAATCCACCGGCGGCGGCAGCGGCGCGAAGGACTGCAGCATCTGCCCGGGCCGAATAAACCACACTCTGTCTGTGTCCTCTCACCCTAACTACTAATTTGGCCTGAAAGCAAATCGCTTGAAAGGAATTCCATGCGAGACCGTGAAGAAAAGCAGGTAATGTGTCTTTAAAAGTCTGCTTTTCTTTCTCTGGTATCGGTGCTTTTGTGTGGAGTTCAGTCAGTGTGCACATCAAACATCCCGTGTGGCTAAGCTAACGCGCTAACTGCATATATGTACACGAAGTAACAATTGTCTTGTTATCGCTAAACTAGGGTTGTTTTTAAATGAAATTCTACATTTGAAGCACTTCCCACCCATTGGAAAGTTGGTACGTGCTGGTCAGGGCAACGCCAGCGTAACCTGTTAAAATAAATGGGTTATTATTTCGCTGAGCCCATCAAAAAGGCCTGCTGTGGCCTGTATTGTCTAGTGGAGTGGCATTCGTATGAGCAGCTGTCCCAGTTGCAGGGCTGCATGCATGCATTTTGTTTCAGGAGTCAGAGTTATATAAGAGAGGTTTGTTTACATCTTGCAAAATCTATCATCACACCATTGACCCTAGAGTGTTGCAATGTGTAGTGTGCTTCATTTACCATAACTGATTGTCATTGGCTTACTGTATGTCCAAGGATGAGGATGTTAAATCCTCTTATAAGTTGACAGCACTACTTTTATAATAACTGTACATTTACATTTAAATGTATTTGTTGATTACGATACAATATTTGGAGTGCACAATGACAAGTTTAAGATGGATTTGTACCCAAGTTAGAGCAAGTGAAATGCAGAAAAGATAAGTGAACTTTTAAAAATGGTTGTTAAGTGCTTGTGGAAGACGTGTGTCTTCAACTGCTTCTGATGTGATGTATCAGCAGAATTGTATTTTTCATTTGGGTAATAATGCATGCACATTTACATACTGATTGTTTTGTCGGTTTAATTTGTTTTTTTAACATATCTTTATTTATTTATTATTATTATTATTATTAATTAATTAAAAAGTTTAACCTGGTTGATTTGTTTAACGGGATAGTGGTTAGTTCACCTCAAAAAGAAAATCATGTCTGTCATCATTTACTCACCTTCATGTTTTTCCAAATAAGACTTTTTCTTTTTAGCAACATCATATGACCCCTTTAAATTACGAAGTCAAAAAATGTTTAAAAAATAAAATATATCCTTATTGTGAACATAAACATTCACAATAAGATCAATAACACGCATTTAGAAAACAGGGTGATTCCTCGTGAATCAACGACTTAAACCTACTTGGTTAGACTTGTGTGGCGGTGATGAATGGTCTCCAGACATCTGGTGTGGCCCCTTTTGAACTTTACACAAATATATGTCATTTCCGTTTGCAACCGTCCGCCATTTTGAACAGGCTGG